CACTTAGGTTTTGTTGGGTTTCAAAATTTGAAAATCAAAGCCGAGTTTAATTGTTTTTTAGGTTTGTGGTAGGTTTCACTTTTACAGATCCACTTTTTTCACTCGTAACCTAAGTAACAAAAGGCAGTAAAACGGCGACGGCGACAGAGTGACTATTAGCGGCTGAATCGATGACGACGACGAGGCGGAGGAGAGCAGGAAAAGAGCACGTAGTGGGTAAGTGTTGTTTCTTCTTTGAATTTACCGTATTTTAGATTTTCTTCGGAGTAGCTCTCGATTTGGGGTTGGGGTTTTGTTGGTTTCCATTTTTTTTGTACTAGGTGGAAGGAAGACAGGTTGAGAAATTAGTTGTCTTCATTTTTTCGAGGCTTAACAAATTTGTTCATTTGATTTTTCAGAGGAGGAAGAGCGTTCAGTTATACCCGACGAGAGGTTGCCTCATCGGCTATTTGCGACGGACCGCTATCCCAGTAGGCGATTGAATGTGTATTCATGTTTGGAAAACCTGTTGATTGTTAGGGATGTGCTCCGGGGGACTGCTGAGATGGACAAGCTTCTGAAATCATGTTTCGGATCTTTATTCGAGCTACCTGTCAGAAGGTGCAGTTATTCTTCAGTTATGATTCATGCAATGCTCGTCCGGCAGGTTGTGACTAAGAAGAGGTACGAGCTTTGGCCAGTTTATGGTGGTAATCCACTAAGATTTTCCCTTGTTGAATTTGGACGTGTCACTGGGCTCCCCTGTGGAGAGTTTGAGCCAGGTTATGTTGCAGACTTCCAGCCTACGTACAAGGAAGATGACTACACTTTGTGGGATAAGTTGTTTGATGGTAGGAGAGATATAACAATCCCCGACATTGTGAAAATGGTAGTGGAAGACAAGAGCATTTCTACCAGTAGAAGATTCAAGCTTTGTTTGATAATAATAGTTGATGGGGTGCTTATAGCTTCTACACAACCACCCAAACCAATCCTTAAGCATGTGAAGATACTTGAGAGCATGAAGAAGTTTTTTGAATTCCCCTGGGGCCGCGAATCCTTTTTCTGGACAGTTAGCACAATGCTACCGGGGAAGAAGATCACTGGGAAATGTGATGATCCTGAGGGTGAGTTTTGTTCTAAACTAAGGCAGAAGACAAAGAAGATGACAGGCTTCCCTCTTGCACTCCAGTTAGTTGTTTATGAAGCAATTCCTCAGCTATTGGCTAGTCTTGGAGGAAGCGATGATTTGAAGCTGAAAGAATGTGAGAAGCTACCCCAGCACACTCGGTTGAATCTTGTTGATGTACTTGAGGCTGAGCACAATCCTGAGGTATGATGTGTTTTAGATTTTTTGTGTTGCATAAGTGTACTGTTGGATGTGTGCGTGGCGTACACATGTACGCATATTGTGATGGGTTCGCTGTACAGATGTACCTGGTTGATTTTCTAAAGGAGGCTTATGTTTTTTTGGCTTTTTTCTGTGTGTAGCTAATTGTGCAGCCAATGATGGAGCCTTTAGCTGAGATGGCTGACGGATGGGGAGTGTGGGATGACGAGATTGATGATAGGAAAGTTAAGTATATGGTTGGGCTTATAGAAGCGGGATATAGCTTCACAAAGTCGATATGGTGTGGCGGTGATGGCAAAGAAGTTTTGTATGACCATGAGGCGACGAAGGCAGCCAAAAAGAGGAAGAGAGAGGTCGCCCAAAAAAGAGTGATTTCTGGACCTCCAATGAAGCAAAAAGGCTAAGCAATTTTTTTGCTAAGAGGGCTTTGGTGGATGAGGTTGAGGATGAGAAGTGGGCTGAACGAGTTGTAAAACTCGAAAAAACAGTGGCATGGATGTTGAAGAGGATGCCTAGGAGAAGGAAGTGTGGGTTAACACCTAAGAAGGATGTATTTTTCAGACGGAAGTCTATTGACAAAGGAAGAACGAGGAGGAGTCCATTGAGTGAAGGTGTTCCTTTAGTTGGAGTAAACCAAGTGGGTGATGAAGTTAACGAAGTGGGTGATGTTGATGTTTCTGGTAGTAGTCTGCCTGTTGATCATGAGGTAGACGGTGCAGGTTTACATTTGGACAAGGGGATGTTGCTTTCAAATGTGGTGAAGGATGTTGCTGTAGTAGACGATGATGAGAAGGAAGATGGAGAAGAGTTGGAGGTTAGTGGTTCTCTCGACAAAGTCAGAGATGTTGATGTGGAGGATAGCTCTTCCGAAGGCAACCCAGATGTGCTTGCACCTCTGGCTGAAGGAGATGGGGTACCAGTTCAGTGGGTACAACAAGGTGTTACCGGGTTGCGTGGGACAGTGTTGTTCAGAGCTACAACTAGTAATACATTCTATGTGACTGAGGACGAGGTACATAGTGTATTAGAATGATTTTCTGTGATTATTAGATGGCTGTGCCGGTGGCAGTGATGTAATTAAATTTTGGTGTTGTTTTCAGGGTGATAGTGATGGTGATTTGGGTGAGGAATCCGATGGTGTTGGTGAAGAAAATAAAGATTTGGGTGTTGAGAAGGGGGTGGAAGGTGGGATCTTATTGGGTGAATCGAAGGTAAGTTTATTTGTTTTGTGTACCTATTTTGTTTGTACAATTGCTGTTTGGCTAAAAATTTCTGTGTATAATTATGGCTAAGGTTGAATTCAAGGGAACAAAGCACACTGATGGCGAAGCAAAGGATTTGGATGATTTGACTGAAGGGGAAACTGGTGTAAGTGTGTGCATGAACATAAACGAATTAATTTGTAAAGTTCTTAAGCGTTGATGTTTTGTTCATGTCTGCAGGAGATTGATGGGCTTGACAAACTGGTCGGTGCACTAGTGATGGAACACGGTGGAGATGTTGGGGAGGGAGAGAGTATTGCGGTTCCTGTTTTGGTTGGTGAGGTAATGTACAACTTTATGGGCTTTACATGGAATTGGGAAAACCTTGTACACATGGATAGTTGATTGAATTTGGGTGATTTATTTGGGTCGTATGTACCGCTTGAGTTAGGCGTACGTGTGTACTTGTTGTTGATTTTTTTTGTTTTGTCAAATGAAGGCTGTTGGTGATGGTGGAAGATCGAATATTAATTTGGGCGCGGAGAAGGCTGTGCCTGATGTTGGAAATGAGGAACGAACCCCAGAGGATAAAACGAAAGAGGTATTTCTAAAATTTTAATTCTATATGTTTGGCATATATTTTTTGTATTATACTGAGTTTTGCAAGACTTGGTAGGAGGAGAGAGCAGCTGTTGAGGATGGTAGAAGTGTTGATCCTGGTGTCACATATTTGAGTGATTCTTCACCATGCCCCCCTAGTGTGAAGCACCGCCCCATTGAATTGGAAGCAAATCTTGCTTCAGTCTTATTGGCAAAGGATCCATTTTCACTAGCTCAGATATTGCCTGAAGCGGAAGACCCTGATTATGTTTTTTTTGAGAAAGTGTTGACTGAGAATCCGAAAGTGTGAGTTTTTTTTTGGCTTGACTGGTAATATAGTTGTACAAGTTTTGCAGATAGAAGGTCTTACTATGGTTATGTAATTGTACAGGTTGCATCTTGGTTCTGGGAAGTATGATTTGGACAACCAGTTTTTTTTGGACTTAGCAACTTCTCAGAAATGGGTGTCAACAAAGGTAGTGGAATGATTTTGTGAATGTTCGAAAGGATTAATTTTTATTTTTTTTTCTGATGTTTTTGGTTTTGTATCTGTCGTACAGCATATTGAAGTGTTGGTGGATTTTTTAAGTGAAAGGCATGCTGTGGTTTTAAAGGAAAATAGGGCGATGTTTGTTTCACCGTGGTTTGTGGATCATTTATTGGGGAAATCAAGAGCATTTAAAGCTGCAACTTACAAGGGTAGGTGTTTTCTGATCCGAAGCTTGCTAGTTATTTGACCGTGGAGGGAAAGAAGCTGGGGGTGGATGTTGACTCAGTGTATACGCCTATGATCTGGGGTACAAACCACTGGGTTGGATTGCGCATAAGCATTACCGAGTGGAGTGTTTTGGTGTATGACCCGAACCAAAGTTTGAGAGAAGTTGATGACGTTCTGACCCTTATGACACCAGTAGCAAAGATGCTGCCATACCTAGTAAGGAAAGTGTGTCCAGCCGAGTTTTTGGTTGGCCACAGTTTGGAACCGTTTGGTATTCAGTTGATGGCAGATGGGTATCAGAACGTTAGGAGTGGGGATTGTGGGCCTGTGGCTATGAAGTTCATGGAGCTGGCTGCAACAGGTGTTGAAGAGCCAGATGTTGAGGATATCACAGATATATTGGTAGACGTTATGAGGAAGCAATATGCAATGGACGTGTACAAGGAGTGGATTGTACCCTTGTACCTTGGTGAAGGTAACTAATTATAGGCGGAGGTTATGTACTAACGGTGGGTTTGTTTTTGGGGGTTATGTACTAAGGGTGGTTTTGTTTTTTTTTTGGACGTAATGTACTGTATGATGGCGGCAGAAAGACTTATTTTATGTTTTGAAGTGTTTGACAGTTGGATAACAAATTTATGTTTGGTTGAATGTAGAACGTTTGTCTTTGGTAATGTACATCTTAGTTTTGTATAAGTTGGAAAATAGCCAGAAGGCATAACTACATGAAGAACATTGTAGAAGCTGATAGGCTGGTTACGGATGTAAAGATGTACAACAATTAGTGTGTACACTAAATTGAAATCCTGTAGACGAAGCTAAGTGTACATAGATATGCAGACAGATGTGTGTGGGTAGTGGAGATATTGGCTTGTACATATGTACGAGACAGTTATTGTTGTACAATTGTTCAATTAGGATTCCCAGGACTGAGATTCGAGATTAAGAGGTTAACAATTATAAGTGAGAAGGCAAGGATGCAATGAAACTTATCTTGCATAATAGAAGTTACATAGTCAGTTCATGAGCATACAACATAATACAGTGGTTGAGAACCAATAACTTAGAAAGACAACAAGAAATTAGATGGAAGGTTATCATATGAGGCCATAGTAGACAGGGAGTTTTGTAGATAAGATTCTAATTAGAATTAGACATTGAAGAACTTGTAAACTATAACAGAAAGTAAAACACATACAGAGATGTTCTTCAAACACTTAAGTTCCACCTGTAGACGTTTGATGTCCTCCTGGAGGACGTTAAGCTCGGACTCGTGCCGGCTTAGAAGAGCGCAACAAGTACGTGTCTCTAGAGCAAGAGATTGAATCTGAGAATCCCAAACTTGTAGAGACTTCTCGTTGGCAAGTGTGGTTTGCTCTAGCAGCTCAAATTTAGGCTTTAAATCCTCAATCTCCTCAACCATGGATTCATCGGCCCATTTGAATAGGTGCTGCGGATTGTTCTGTTTTGCAAGAAAGAGAAGAAGCAAAATGAGATGAGTGTTGAAAGAGTTGAGGTATAGAATTTTTTACAGACCTCATCGCCGTAAGGACAACTGTGGAATAGGCGGCCTGGATTGTTCTTTGTTCTCGAAGTGTGGCGTGAGACAGTTGAGCCACAGTGACAATGGGTGGGGAAACCTCGACGTGCGTCTGCCATGGAGAGGCGTTGTGTTGAAAATTGTGAGGATCTCAGATCTGTTTTGGTTTGGCGGAGGTATTTGTGGAATTTTTTTATTTTTTGGTTAAAGATACGGTATAACGAAACGACAGCGTATTAGGAGTGTTTTTTTGCCTTGTAAACGAGTATAGTGTTTGTACAGGTAAGAGGCAGCGTACATGTGTCTAGTAGTACTGGTGTACATCCATGGTCCGACCATTGATAGAATTAGGAGACCGAATGGTACTTGTTGGTACAGCTGAGAGACGCGTACAATTGCGTAGCAGTACATATGTACGTCGATATCATTGTCTGAATTGTGATGAAATACGAAGATAAGTATCTTTTTAATTGTGGATGTACACTTTCCGAAAGCAGAGATCATTAAGCAACAGAATATAAATAATTTCACCGAATGTTAGATCATTGAATACATGTTGATAAGGTTTGACATGTATAACCAAAAAACACAGAAAAATTCCAAAAAAGAGCTAACTGATCCTTGGTGAATTTGGTATCCAAAAGATGGGCATGTGGATATAAGATTCACCCCAGTCAGATGGGGACGACACATCTAGCGCGGTTGTGGCCAGTGCCACCACAGCGACCACATTTGTTAGGAATGAGCTTGGACTTCTTTTTAGGCTGTGAAAAGAAGTTTAAATGTAAGTAAATCCTTGTCATATTTGGTTGTGCATATACAGAATAACATTTTGTTAAGAAAGAATGTAACCTTAATCTCGCCTGTTGAAGGAATACGTTTGTCTTTCGGCCGACCAGATGGGCGGCGGGTTTTTGGAGGGTAGATGATAAGATTTGAAACAGCGCGGGGGATAGGGTAGTCACCGAAGGGAGCCTCAGGCTGGATAACACCTAAGTATGTTTCAATCCAGTTCTGTGTCTTGTAAAAATCACCAACTAGTTGGTTGTAGGGTAGACCAGCTGAATCTGCTGCAAAGAGAGCATGTCCACAAGGTATTTTAAGTTTCTGAAAAACTTGACAAGTACATGCTTTAGTATCGAGGTGGACCGTGTTGGCATGACCAAATAGACCTCTGACTGAATAGCTCCAGTCTGCTGTTTGTGAAATCTTGCTGCCTTTGGTAAGTCTAATGTGACCCTGAATCACTTTATCAACCTCAGGTGTTGCATAACCCCTATGCTTCGCTGATTTGATCTTCCTTGCTGAGAACCACCTTGTTAGCATGCGTTGGATGAACATGAACATTTCAACAATAGGAGAAGCCCGAGATTTGGATATAGCATTGTTCAACTGTTCAGCAACGTTGCTGGTAAGAAGATTGTACCTGTTACCCGGGAAGTATGTACGAGACCATTTGGCGGTGCCTATGTTTTCAAGGTATTTAAAGCAGGCTGCATTAGCTTGTTTAATTTTCCCAAAATTTTTATCAAACTCAGACCGACGGAATGAGAATGCTGCCTCACAGACCATCTTTGCAAGACCTTTGCTTTTGAAACGAGAGACAACGTTCCTCATGAGATGAACGATACATGCACCGTGATGTGCGTTGGGGAAAACCTCAGCCTTGGCTTTTATGATAGATCCATTGCGGTCAGAGATAATGGTGAGGCTGCTTGAATCTGCAATAATCCTTTCAAGCTTAGTAAGGAACCACGTCCATGCTTGATCAGTCTCGCCATCAACAACTGCGAAGGCGAGGGGGAAAACTTGGAAGTTCCCATCTTGTCCACTAGCAGTGAGGAGTACACCTTTGTATTTTCCGGTAAGGTGGGTGCCATCAATAATCAGAACATGGCGTAACCGTCGGAATCCATGGATTGAAGCACCAAATGAGAGGAAAGCATAGAGAAACCTAGTGTTGCCATCGTCGTCTAACTCAGTTTCAATATCAGTAATTGTGCCCGGGTTTGTTGCTTTCAGCCTTTCGAAATAACCAGCTACGCTGAGGTAGGAGTCCTCTGCATTACCATGTGTTATGTCGAGGGCAATTCCTTTTGTCCGATGGCATTTCATGTAAGAAGCATCAAGACGCAAATCTTCAAGAAGCAGTTGCTGAAGCTGCATTGCTTTTGGTGCATCGGTTGGGTCGCCGTATTTGGAGCGGTAGATATGTGCCAAGACCTTAGCCGTAGCACGCTTCTTGTAAAGGCTGCGAGTCTCTGTATCACATGTGTGATCCAGCTGACACTTTTTTATAGTGTAGTAACCGCAGGTCGTGAGCTCCTTTGCAAGGATTCTCCATGGACAACACACATCATGACAACTGAGTACAAAGGAATGCCTGCTGGTCCTTGTTTGCCTGAAATAAAACTGTTCTTTGATGGCGTAGATAGCGAGGCTGATTTGGCAGTCTTCTTTTGATGCATACAATTTCCCAACACAAGGTTCATCATCATCGATACACAAATCTGGGATATCTTCAGCTTGATAAGAAGTGTCATCGAAAAGGGGGGGGAATATCGAATTCCTCGTCACTGATCTGAGAGAGGGGCCTGGTCTCACGAACAGGTGGTGTGGGAGGCCGCGTCGGCACATGTTCATTAGAAGCTGTACGAGCCGAAATAGGTGACCCGGAGCGGTGTACAGGCGGACAGCTCTTACTGTGTACAGAGGTATGGAGTACATGGTCCTGTGGAAAAGGTACTTCAGGTTTACAGTAAGGTGGCAATTCACCGGACACTTGCACTGTGTGATCAAAAGCATCCCCGGTGGTGCAATGGATGATATGGGGGGCAGTCTTGGGTACAGAAATACCCGCCATAACAGCAGCAGCATCAGAACCTCCAAGATGATCATCAATGAGCGGGGCTCAAAAGTCATGGTCATAGCCTCGGGACTGAACATTTTCAAAATCAGCGGGAAGGGAAGCATCAGAATCGCTGTCCTCATCATCATCTGTAACCCAGCTATCAGGTATGTTTGCAGAGTCTTCTTTAAACATGGTTTCAAGCAACTCATCTCTGCAAAGTAGGGTTTCGTCTATAAGAGATAAGCGAGGAGGTTTTGATGGACCAGAAGTGCTTGAATCACCAAATTGTTTTTCTAGATTACGAACACCTAAATGAATAACAGGTGGGCTGTGGAGGCAATCTTGAGGACGTTGAACAGGTGGACAGCTTGAAGTCTTTATAGCAGGGCGATTGGGAGGATGTACAGCCGGGAGAGTTTGAGGTTGCACATTTGTACGACCGCCATGTTGTACAGTATGCGAAGCTCGTGGCTGTACAGGCGTACAATGGTGGGATATGTCTAGTTCATCATCAGTGAATAAGGCGAAGCCTGGTATCTGAGAGCCAGTGGTTGAGGGTGGCGAAGTGAAGAGGAGGAATAAGAACTGTGTATCCTGTTGATAGGTTGGTTGGGCGTGGTGAAAGGTATTGGATTCTCATCGGTTTGGTTGGTTTGAGGGGTGGTGAAGGTGACAAACAAATTCATTGCTTTGTTTGCTTGAAAGTGCTGGTAGAAGTAGGAGACAGCACCGTCGTTTGTAAGCATCACTGGAGGTGTGGTAAGACCCGTTGCAAGCTCGTTCGTGTTAGGAGGCCAATAGCTGAGTACAGCCGTGCGGAGGATGCTCGAAGTGGCGAAGAACTCTCGGAATACAGTGTCGAGCAATTCCCCCAAAGGAATACCAGAACGGATAGGCACAATCCGTGTCATCTGCTCTTTGTCTATCTCAAAATTCCAATGATTAACGCCTGAGGTTTTCCAGAGGCCGGCGATGACCATACAATGGTCAGCCATTGACGACGGCTGGAAAAAAAAAAGTTAAGAGTGGTTAGAGAAACGAAAACAAGTAAGAACAAATGATTAGCTAACATAATCCGAGTTTAAGAAACTAACAAACCTTAATTGTTAGTGATAATATCTCAGAAACAAATTGTGTGTTTGAAGGTTGATGAAGAACGGTGAAAGAAGATTGAGGAGAATGGTGAAATTTCGACGGTGAATAGCAAGGGGAATGGTGAAAACGGTGAGTGAATCTAGGCCGTAGGATGTTGAGTAAACATAGTTAATCTAACGGCCAGAAAAAAGAACAGATACATGTCAACTCAAGATCTATATAGCCCCAATCTGGACCGTCCATTGCTTGGTTAAATCAAAGGCTGATATTAAAGTCCGCCTATTGTAGAACAGTAGTAAAGAGGACTCTGGTTGAGATTAAACTAAGTATGTTTCTTCCCTTGTATTTGTAATGAAGGGTTAGAAATAAGTGCTCATGTAGAAACATGTGACTCAGAGTGATATTAATAAGTAGAAATGTGACTGTGGTCGTAATATTCTCATAATGTTACTATTCTGTATATAACACTATCTTGCGTCTCGGTCGCCGTTACTATTATTTCCCCCAGACCAACCAAAGAAATCGCTTATCCCATCGGAAGCCGTCGTTTTATTGTTCCTATCGCCGGCGCAGCCTTGAGAAAGCAACATGCTTAGAGAATCCCCTTCTAGCTCTTCAAGATCTGCGAATAACTCATTTGGCTGGTGCTGATCATGAAGCTCTGGTCTATACGGAGCAAACTGATTATCGTCATTGTCTTCTACGTTTTCCAACTCCATATCTCCTTCTCTTTGTTCATCCTTAACGGCAGAGGCTGATAAATGAGAAGGAGAGGCGTAGGAAGGCAAGTGGTTGTTGTTTGAAGGGCCATTAGGTGGAGCGGTTGCGGTTGAGGATATGGAGGTATTAGGGTTAGAGGAGGAGGAGCGTGTGGAACCGGCAAGAGCGTTGCGTTGAATGGGCCAAGGATGGTTATGTTCGGAAGTATATGTAATCACCAACATATTTGGATCGGTTCGGCTTCTTTCCACTTGCTTTCTTGCTGAACAACCTTTTGAGCTGCTGCATCTATAGTAACCCCTGAGAGGATACAACCATAATTAAACAATCATCAAGATTAGCCACGTCTATTATAAGTACTAGTATATAGCGGTTTTTATCTGTATAATCTCAAACCATATTAAATTAAGAATATTCATCAATATTATTATTCCCTCCACTATAAAATTATAAACCGAAGGATGAAAATTGTAAAATAAAATTAGTAAGACGATATGATTTCAGAATCTCTGTTGTCTGTAATCATTAAATTTCAAAAAGGATAACTTAATCACTGAATTTCAATCTTATTGATCAACATGATTTGTATATGTTCATAAAACAAATATTAAATGTCAGATTCGTGGGTGTGTATATGGACCAAATGTCACACTACTTATCAAGAAGAATGTTGTTACAATATCCGAATCCTGTAACAACTTGAGCTAAGAAAGTGGTGGTGAAATAAAGTTTAGTTTGAGAATCTTTGTTTGATGATGGATACTGATGTATGAGTTTGTGTAATACCTTGGAAAAGGAGAGCCCTTGATGGGTTTTTGACCGTACTTACGCCAAGCCCATAGATCAGACGGAACCACTTCTCCGTTTGACCGGCTGTTCAACGCAGCCGGTGCTGGTATACACACCACCTTCTTTGCCTGACTCTTCCTGCACGTATATATATATGGATACTTACACACGTACGTGTGGGTTTCTGTCTATCTATATACAATGCACGTGTGAATACATGTAAGTTGTGAAAGCTAAGTTTGGTAGTGGGGCATTATTAGTATCAGTTGGGGTTTGAGATATGATGCAACTCAACTATATGTTCTTTAATTGTGACAGTTCATAGATTCTCATGCATGTGTCTTCAACCTCAACCCTCTATCCTCTCATGAATCTAAACAATTATATATGTAATTGTGTTTGTATGTATATATATATTACACACAAAATTTCATGATTTAAGAAATGACAAACAAAAAGACACTAGAAAACTCAATAATGGAACGTGTACATATAACATACACACAAACAAACAAACCATAAGTCATTCTATTATTAGCATATGCATGCTACCTAGAACCCTAATTCACTTTACTCTCTATGCTATCATAGACTTGCTGAAAGTTATTGAATAAAAAAATTATATTGCTACTACATATAATACCATCTTGGGAAGTATTCTATATATAGTGGAAACATGTAATGGATCATTGGATCAAGCTTTTTAAAAGTTCAATTTGTACCTTCTCTTAGGGCCTAGATTAGGAAGGGAAGATATCTGAATCTGAGACGAGAACGTGTTTCCATCGATTAATAGACAGTTTCGAGGGCTGTTTGTATCGACGTTGATAACCCCTTTAGGCGAGGCGGCAGCTGCGGCGGCGAAAACGTGAGCCGACATGGCCGGAGAATTACATGGAGAGGAATCGTGAATGATGTTACTATGCGAGATCCGGATTCTTGGGAAGACACTGCATTGACTCTTTATATGACCATCTCCTACTACCTTAGGAACTAATAAACCGTTGTTGTTGTTGTTGTTGTTGTTGTTGCTGCTGCTGCTGTCGGCGGCGGAGAAATAGCCAGAGTTTGTGACGGCGTTGAGTTCTTGGAGGAGAGGATCAGTCATGCTCACAAATGGATCTCCAAATGGATTTATGGGAAGATCTGACGATACGGATGGTTGTGGAAGAGGCCATATGTTCGGAGGGGAAGGACGTTCCGGTGATAACACGTGGCCGCCTCCGATTCCTCTCACGACGTCAGTTAAGTCTCCTTGATAATTGTCCATCTCAAGACGCTGCACATAATTTATGTATGATGAGTACGTGTCTTTGTATATTATATACAGCTATACAAAATAATCTTTATCGAAAATCAAGAAACTAAAATCATTAGGAATCAGAAGATGAGATTATGGTTCTCTAGCATCGTGTTTGTGAGTATTTTCTTGAGTTTCTTGAGAAAAGGGAAAGAAGAATGAATGTTCACGAGGAAGAAGAGAGAGACGCTGACTTTTTAGTGTTGCGAAGAACGTCTTCCCCTTCCAACATGTTAACGAATATTGATATTTTAAATATGGACGGAAATATAATTTAAAGTAAGTGAGATAATCTATTTATTTAATCATATAGATAAATGGATCAATGGCCAAGTCTTGTACTTTTTAATTTAGATTATCTTTCTGAGTTTACTTGAGTTTGTGAAGTTCTTTATAATATTGGTTCTTTTTTTTATAATAATAATAATAATAATAATAATAATAATATTGGATCTTGATTACTCGTTGCAAATAATTCAAATGGAGGTAGGATCTTGAATATAAATTATTACCCTTTCAGCTCGCAATAAGAATAGAAGATTCGTAGTGTTACATTATTATATTATTAAATTTGTCATTCTGTCGTATCATATTATTTTTAAAATACATCATTTTTAATACGCTGTCAAATTTATTATTATCAACGTATTAACGAATACGAACAACGATCTCTTTTTTTTTTTTGAGAAAGATTTTTTTTTTTGAGAAAGTACGATCTCACTTTTTTACCTCATTTTTGTTGTTCTTATATTTTAGATGATTTATTGTCATGTCACAATTTTGTGATAAGATCACTCCAAAATGAATTTGATAATCATGCAGTAAGAGCATCAGTTAGTACAACTGACATCATCATTATTTATTAGTATTATAAAATGATTGATCTTGCCAAAAGAAATGCAATAGTAGACGTGCGATAAGGAATGGCGAAGTGAAGAGATCCGGCGGTAACTATCGAAAATACGTTTCTTTGTTATCTAATCAGAATCCGCCACGAAACTTTATGACTAATATGCATACATGTAACACAATGCAATTATATAACGTTATGATTACTTAAGGAATATTTTTGGGCAATTCTCTAAAGTATATTTTTTAAGTTTTTATCACAAAAAATATATCTCAAAAATTAAAATGACGAAAATAATATTTTTATTTTAAAAATTTTAAACTTTTATTTTTTTGAAAACTTGAAATTGTATCTCCAAAACCTCATTCCTCAACTCTAAACAAAAAAGATCTAATATTTTTTAATTCAAACGATATATGTGTCTATTTATTATTTTTGATAAAATATTAAGTCTATTTTGGTTATTTTTATTTTTAAGGTTTATATTTGTGAAAAATATTTTTTAGGTCTACTTAAAAAGTTTTCTCAATATTTTATGCATTTCCCTAATTATAAAGATAATACGACAACAAAATAAATCGATATTTTCTATAATTTACAATTTATTAACCACGATGAAAATTGTCAAAAGGTTACATATTTACTAGGAGAAAACAGCCATTAAACTTTGAATTTTAAAATTAAAGTTAAAAAAATTTCAACTCATGTTTGAGCCAAAAAAAAACTTAACTTTCATATATTAGTTGTTTTAACTCTCATATATTGTTGATTCGGCCATTTGAAAAACCTAAATAGTCAATTCTTCACGTGATTATAAAAATAAATGTATGTTAATGCTGTAAACGATGTCCTTTTGAAAAACAGTTAAACAACACTGTTTTGCTTCTTTACGCACTTAAAACATCTCTTTCACGAAATCTCTTTTAGAATAAAACGATAGTTTTGAAAATAAGATGATAAAGAATCAAAATCGATGGTGTTTTCAACTTCCATCACAATGATTTTTCCCTTTTAGACACTAGTAAAAAGAGAAAAATCATTGTGATGGAAGTTGAAAACACCATCGATTTCGATTTTTTATCATCTTATTTTCTTTTTCTTTTAATCAAATCTGGGATAATATAAAAAAGTATATTTATGGACAACTTCACAGAAGAACAAATGGCTAGAAAATTTATCAAACTAAAGACAAACATATCTATACAGATATATTTGTGGGATAAAATGATAGTGTCGTTATGAGGATGTGTGTGAATGTTAGGTCGAGTTCATGATGAACACTAATACCCACGTTCGTGCATTGTAATTCCAATTGTTAAAAAATACAGAAACCCAACAAACCGTATATGTGGATCTTATTACAAATTTGGTTTATTATAATAATAATAGTTTGTCATGGAAAAAAAATTCCCCATCGTATATTGGAGTGCAAGACTCCAACGATTAAGAAACAAACACATGGTTCTACTCGAAACACTATAGTGTGGTGTTTAAGAGTATCTCCAAAACTCCGTTATATTCTCATTCTAAACTGTAGTTTGAAGTAAAACAAATCAAGTTTTATTCTGTTTAATTTCTACTTTGTAACAGAGTAAAAAGTAAATCCACTTTGTAAATGAAATCTTTTATTCATCTCCTACTCATTATTCTATTTCTCATTTCAAAATATAATAAAATTGGAGTTTTGTAGTTTTTTATAAAAATTGCAGTATACATTAGAAATGCTTTAACAGCGTAAGAGTTGGGTTAGATTTAAAATTTAAAAACTATAAAATTTACGAGGGAATACAAGTTTGAGTTACAACAAGACTAGTGAAAATGCTCCATATTCAAACACTTGTGAGCAAGTTTATTACGTTTTTATTTTGTTTTGTTAAAAAAAAAGTTTTATTTTTTTTATTTTTTGACTAAACAAGAATTCAGCAGATCAAGATTCAGTCAAAAAAATCCTTTAGAACATGATTAATTAGAAGTTTTTAACGAAAGAATTCTTAGCAGAATTAAAAAATTATCTTTTAAATTTTAACTAAAAAATTATAAATCAATTCTTAAATAAGATATTTAAGAATCGGTCTTAGTTTTTTTAATTAAAAATTAAAAGAAAAAATCTTAATTCCCATAAAAACTCCACCTTAAGAACCCTTCCATTAATCAATGTTCTTAGGGAGTTATCGCCTCTCGCCTTCTAGCCATATGAAAAATTAGCAAATTCGCACTGGAGGAAAATTGATCAGGACCAACATGACGACTCTTCCCTAGATCTTCTAGACCATGTGCAACGGAGGTTCATGAAGACCTCTTAGCACTAATCCTTAGAATTATTAGAATATAATAATCATTTTTTCCAAATTTTGGCAAGGATTGGTCCGTCGGGAAGAGGCTTAAGAGGTTGATCCTTAGCACACCTGGCATGCTCTCGCTCATTCCGGTTCGGTCGAAGTCGGGTTACTTCGAAAAAAAACAATTCATTTCGCGATAGAAAGGAAAAAAAAAAGCTCTCGAGAGGAGAAGGCGATATGGTGGCGATTTCTCTCCATCAGCTCCACGAAGGTAAATCAAACTCTCGAGGAGTATTTTTCATCGATTTAGATCAGTTTTTATCTTCATTGTCTCAATTAAAGGTTTACGGAATGGGTTTCAATCGATTTGCGTATCATTTCTGAAATTAGGGTTTTAGAAAAATTTGGGGATAATTCGATTTGGGGTTAAGATCTTGTATGGTCGTTTGAATAAAGGGTTTTGAAACGATTTTGGTTTCAATCCGAAACGGATGTGCTGTTCTTTACATTTCGAAACGATTTTAGGTTTCAATCCGAAGCGGATCTTCTTTTCTTTCTTAACGGTTTCAAAACTTTTTAGTTTATATGTGTTTGCTTTCAATTGTTTGTAAAAGAGTTGTCATTTTTTCAATCCATATGTTGTTTGCTTCCTTGTTTTTGCTTTGGTTTGTTCATGAGATATTGTTATTTAACAATGTTCTTTCGGCATCTCTCTCAGGTTAAAGACAATGGGACAAAATTATAGCTACACCCAACCTTCTTCAACATCAAACTCTGTAGACATGACGTATCTTCTTGAAGCAGAAGCTGAGTTGTACCGGGATGAAGCTGAGAGTACCTACTGCAATGGAGAGCCGGATCAGTTGTTACATCAACCAGAGGGTGATGATGGAATCCCCACGATATGCTATTGTGGGGCTCAGCCTGTTGTCGGATGCTCATATACTCGTAAAGACCCATACAGAAGGTACTTCACTTGCGAGAACGTCGATGATGGGGACTGCCACATCTGGAAATGGTGGGATGTGGCTGTCGCAGAGGAGATGTCTGAGTTTCAGAGACAACTCCGGCAGCTAAAGGAACAATCTTTTGAGTGTGACCAGAAGGTGGTTAGGCTACAGAAGAGCGTGTTTGAGTTAAAGAAGAAATCAGAGACTAGAAACGGCTTTGCTTTGGCACTTTGTGTAATGGTCTCTGCAATAGTTTTTTTAGGTTTGACGAATTTGTTCCTGACTGGTAAGTATGTCTCTTGTTCTTTTCATTTTTGTTCATCATATTTAGTAAAACATTTGACTGTTTGATCTCATGTTGTTGCAGGAAGAGCTTCAAAGAAGTAACCCATTGCGTCCTCAAGGTCGCGAATGTCTCCAATTAGGTACGAGTACTACATCCTTCTACTCTCTTTTCATTGAATTAATAAAAATAAATATGAGTATAATTGAATTCCTGCGAACATCAAAACAAAATTGATTTAATAAAAACATAAAATTTTAAAATTTAAACTACTTAAAACATTTAAACTACTTAAAATTTTAAATTTTAAATTTGTACTTGCATTGTTCTTTCTATCTTCCCACCCGCTCAGATTTGATTGTTTTAAATGTTTTTAGTACTTTATAAATATGATTTACTCTGATTTGATTGCTGTTTAATGGAACTAGTTAACTTTCTATCTACCTAACTGCTCGTTTTTGGTTGCTTTAAAAGTTTACTTCTTGCCTACTTAAGTGTCTGTGTTTCTATTAGAGAGACACAGACTAAGCAATTAACATGGATAAGAATCAAAGTTACGTAAACCTTTTGTTTAGTCAATCTCAAAATCATGTTGATCTTGATTCACCTGAACCTTTTTGGTTCGGTAGTCAAGGTCCTAGTGAGACTGTTGTCGAGCCTGTTGTCGAGGCTGGTGTCGACTCTGGTGTTGACAATGGTGTTGACACTAGTGGGAAGGAGAGGAGGAAGTGGTCTCCGAAGGAGGACAAAATCCTTATTGGTGCGTGGCTTAACACCAGTAAGGACCCTGTCATCAACAATGAGCAGAAAGCTGGTGCTTTCTGGAAGCGCATTGTGGAGTACTAC